TATCGTCCTCTCCTGTCCCCTCTTCCTCACTGCAGATCTGAGTGCAGAAGGAGAACTCAAAATTCACTGCCAAAAGGATTCATTAATGCAGAGTTAAGGCTGCCCCTTGCTGCACTGTGTCCTTCTAGCATGCCGAGTTCACCTACACTCAAACCTCTGAAATCAGGAAATTCAGAAGTAAGGTTCACCCCACCCCACGCCCTTAACTCTGCCCCTCTTTGAGCAATGTCACAACCCACCCCCCACAGCCATCACAGCACCCTACCCTTCCAGATGAGACTGAGCCCCACAGGAGTGTGCAGCTTCCCACACAGACAGTCCAACCTGCTCAGTCTGCATTGATTTAAATGACCTAGAATTTTGTCCTAGTCTAACTCCGGTCATTCCACCCTGCCCACTTGAAACTCCCCTCAGGCAGCTTCTTACAGATAATCTTTACCTCCTGAGCTGCTGTGTCCTGTTAAACTATAACACTCCACCCCAGAGGAGGCTGCATTTCAGTGATGGGTAAAGTAAATGATCTGTCTGTTTGGTACTTTATATGGCCCTGCATGGAGTGGACTCACTGCTAGTGCACCCCCTTGTGGTTGGGCATCACATGGCAGGCTCTCCTCACCTAGCACCCCCCAGCCAGTCCAGCCCTGTGGTGTTCTGCCTCTTCTTGTGACTCTGCCCTCCAGCCCGGTCTCTCTAAAGTCTCACCCCTTGCAGAGTGTTGATGTCTCGTACAAACAGTGTCCCACACAACCCCAGTTATCAACACTGCACCTTCCGCCCGGCCTCGGCTCCTCTGCAGTCCCACCCTTCTCTCAGAGCAGCGGGTTCCCCACGTCAAAACCCCAAACAAAACAAACCAACCTCCGACCAGCCGGGCTTGAGCACTGGGTCCTGCTGGGCTCTCCTCAGCTCCCTGCTCCGGTTACAGGATAACGGCCCTGGAGCCTGGGCCCTTTCCCAGGGCCTGTCTTCTCTCATCCAGCTACCCTATTGTCCCTTTCCCAGAGTGAGGGAACCCTAATCCCCTCGGAGTCCTGGCTCCTTCCTCTGTAGCTTTCACTCCCTTCCATCCTGAAGAAGGCCCAGCTGGCTGGGATAACAAATTCAGCCTTACCACACACCCTCCCGGGATAGCCAGGTGGGCTAACTGAGCTTGAAGACTCTTGTTAACCCTTTGTTTACATGGGTGGGGCTTACACCCCATCACTGTAAGATCTGAGCCCATCACAGTCTTTATAAGGCTGTTAGCCACCTGGGAGGCAGGGCAGGGCTGCTATCCCCATTGTACAGGTGGGGAAACTGAGGCACAGCATGACTCTGTGACTTGCTCTAGGTCACCCAGGGAGAATGCAGCGGATTAGGGAATTGGACCTGGGTTTTCCAAGTCCCTAAACTAGCATCCTAATCACTGCTCCAGCTTTCCTTTCTAGAGAGGAGCACATTCTTGTCCCTATGTGACCACTGACACTAGGACGCTGGGCGCTGTAGAATGGACAACTGGGCCTGTTGGCTGTAAAATGTGTTGGCTGCAGGATGCTCTGTAAAGATCCTTGCTAGCTGGGATCTTCTACATAGGAGCCACTTGTATCCAAACGCTGCATGTGCCCTTTCTGCCTTGATAAATCTGCTTCTGAATTCTTGGGGTGGGTTGTTTTGTTTTGTTTTTAATCCAGCTGAAAGAAAACAAATTCGCAAAGCGATTTGACTGGCCTGGGCTCTGAGCCTGGCCAGATTCCTCCTGTGAAGTCCCACAACACAAACATTGTTGCGACAAAGTATTTAAGGAGCTGAGAACATCATCCAGGGCTGGACTGGAGCCGCCTCCCGGAGCCACCTTAAAAACTGCTCGCCCCTGTCGCACTGCCTGAATGGCAATCGTGAATGGCATGAGGTCTGTGTCTGAAGTCAAGTGGAAAGTGGAGAATATCCCATCGGTCACCAGACTTCAGAGCTGCCGGGGCAGCAGTCTGCGCCTTTCCCCTCCAGCTGAGGAAGAGAAGGGTGGGATCCTCTCTGGGGCATATTTATTATCCCCCCCAAAATCACCTGCCACAACTCTGTGCTTTGGAAGATGCTTCTCGCTTTAATCCTCCTGCAGGGTTTTTCCCATGCCCTGGCTGCAAATCATGGTAAGTTGCATTGCTTATAAAGACATGGATGTCGGGCTCAACTCAGCCTTGCCACAGCTCTGGGTGCTACTGGCTGGCTCTGGGTGCTACTGCGGAGGGGGGTGTGTGTGGGGGGGTGGCTGGATTTTTTTTGTGGAACCCCCAAAGAGTGCAGCACTCTGTTCCTTTCTTGTGTCCACAATGGAGCTACTGTTCCAACTCCCATGGGCCACTCAGCCTTTTCTTTTGTCTGCTTTAGAAACCAATTTCCTAAACAAATGGCACACCAAATGCTTTGTGATGCTTTCCAGCCAGTCACAGACGTGAACAAACTCCGCTTACAAGTACCCCGCAGAATTTCTGCAAAGAGCCTGGGTTACTAGTTATTCCCTCCAGGCCTGATCCTGCATCATCAACATCAGTGGGCGCAGGATCTAGCCCTCAGGTCCCTGCTCCAAAGACATTACGCTGGGATCAGGGGCGCTGGAGCAATTTTTATAGTGGGGGTGCTGAGAGCCCTTGAACCAAACTGTAAACCCTGGATATATTGGAAACCCCTGCAAGCCAGGGGGTGCGACAGCACCCCTAGTTCCAGCACCTATGCTGGGATCCCCGACTGAGCTGTGTGCTAAATTGAAGCGAGTATCCTTCAGAGCAGGGGTTAAAGCCGAGAAGGTGTTGAAAGTGTTCAACAAGCAGGCTAACCGTTGGCATCCCAAAGCTCCCTTTAAAGGCAGAATTTGAGGCCTCCCCTTAATCCTAATGCATTTTGCAGGGGCATTTCTTCCGAGGTTATTTATTGCGGATTTCTTCGCTGGCTGTCGACAGCTCTGAATTTCCTTCAATATTTGTGCCTGACTCCTGTTGACTTACACGGACACTGCAGGAGCCGGTTGATTTATCCCCACTGATTGTGCTTTAAAAATATAACCCAGACTCGGTGAGCTGTAAAATGCCACCAAAAATGTAAATATCGGCAACAGGTTTATATATACACCCCAAGGCCCGTTAGGAAATCACAGTCCCTTATTCCAGCAGCCATATCCCCATCATGATAAGAGCTGAGCATTCTGGTCTCAGCACTTTCCAGGATTGGGGCCGGTGGCCGATACCAAGACCTAAATGTCATGGAGGTTGCTGCGTGGGCTTGGGTGACTGAAGTTCTGCATGATCAAGGGGATGTTCGCTGTAATTAATATGCATCCAGGGCTGTGACCCTTTTTGGTGTCAGTGAGGCTGAGTGTGTCCTGTATGTGTAATTCACCTGGATTTATGGGCTTTCGGGGGCTGCTCTTTGATGCTTGAAATGTTGGAGTCTTTAGAAAACTGGCCCTAAAGGGAAGTTGCGCGAATCCAAAATTGCAGTGATATGGTCATTTCCTGGGCTCCGCAATTCACCTTTCAATCCGCAATCCGGATTATTCATTTATTGAGCAAAGCGGGCCGTAAAGAACGGTAACCGGACACCGTGCAGCTGCGTAAAGATTTTAAGATATTATTTAAAAAAATAAGGCCGTTGGGGGTGTCATTGATACAATGCTGAAATCTCTTTGTATCAATGGATTTGGATCCTGAGGATTTTTCGCTGCTGGGCGGAGCTAACCCTGTGATTACGTCATAGAGAGTAGACGTGATATGTCGGGTAGATGAATTCTATTCTTTGAGCAACAGTGATCAGTAGCTCAAACAGTGCCGGGGCAGATGCAGCAAGTGGGCAGAAGAGTAGACTTGATGAAAACAGGTAATAAGGACAGCCGGACAGAAAATGCTTGGGATTTTTCCATGGAAAATTTTGACTTTTTGTTGAAAAATTTCAGCTGAAAATTGCCCCAAAAGTAAGTGTGTGTGTGTTGGGGGCTGGAGGGGGGGAGTGTTGAGGGGAAAAAAACCCCAATGGGTTTTGGCCAAATATTTTCAGTTTTCTGAAGAAAAATAAAAAAATGTCAAGGGAAAGCAGACACGCGCCACAATCATTTTCATGGATTCAAACCCCAATTTTCAGCCAGGCCTTTAAATCAACCTGATTTTAGCATGAAAAGTAACTTGCCAAGTCCCAGAGGATGGGACTGTTCCCAGCGACGGTGTCCTGTGACTCTCTGGTTTTCATTTGCACAGTTCCCCCGGGAATCTTTTCATCAAGAGCCTGATCCAAAACTTGCTGCAAGCCCGTGGAAAGATTTCCATGGGCTTCGGATCAGGCCCCAAATCGGTCTCATTAGCCCAAGCCTGGGAGCAGACTGGGAATCCCTTTTCCTAATGGCCTGACTTTTCAGTCTCAAACAAGCCTTGGAAGCGTTGGGTTTGTGCAGGGAAACGCTCCTGACAGGTCTGTAGCAAAACAGTAATAAGGCAAATAAATGCCACATATAGAGCCACATAGGGCCCGAGCCTGCTCTCACTGACATTACAGGCAAAACACCTAACAGAGCAGAGATGTATTGTTTGTTTCATTTGACTGCTTTAAAACTTATGCCAGATTCTGCTCTAAATTACCCCGGGTTAAATCTGGAGTTGCTCCACCATCTTCAGTAGCATTACTCTGGATTTACACCCAGGTAAACAGGAGCAGAATTTAACCCATCATGCACAAAAGGAGACGCAACAAACAAAAGTAATAGGCTTGTGAAGCATTCCCACCTCTAGTCCCAGAGCTGGGCTCTGCAAACAAGCTGTTCTACTATCTGAGCACGGCTTGAGACGCACATGAACGTCAACACTGTACCGTCACGGCTGGGCCTGAAAGGGCTGCAACGCGCTAATTTCTGCGAAGAAATGTCATCTCATCAGCTCACATGCTAGTACCAGGCCAGCCGGTGCCCCTCTTACCCCACAAGCGAGCCCACTGAAATCAGCCAGGCTGCTTGGGGTGTAAGGCAGTAGGCAATGTTAGTCACGATGGGAGAAGGAGAGGTGATTGTACTGCTTTACGCCGCCCTGGTGAGACCGATGCTGGAACGCTGCGTCCAGTTCTGGGGTCTGCACTTTAGAAAGGATGTTGAAACATTGGAGCAGGGGCAGAGAAGAGCAACACACACAAAAATTGAGGGCTGGAAAAAAATGTCTGACAGCGAGAGACTCCGGCAGCTCAATCTGTTGAATGTATCAGAAAGAAAATCAAGAGGTGACTTGATTATGGTGTTTAAGTACTTTCACGGGGAGAAAACACTGGATACTCTTAATGTAGCTGAGAAACGCAGCTCAAGAACCAATGGCTGGAAGCTGAAGTCAGACCAATTCCAATTCAAAGCAGGGCAGACTTATTTTTTACCAGAGAGGGGGATTAACCAGTGGAACAAACCGCCTGGGGAAGTGGTGGATTCTCCAGGTCTTGAGGTCTTTATAGCACAACTGGAGGCCTCTCTGGAAGACCTTGAGTCAAACACAAGTTACTGGGCTCAACATAGGGGAACTGGGAGTGGGAGGAGTTCTCCGGCCTGGCTTACACAGGAGGTCAGACCAGGTGATCTAATGGGCCCTTCTGCCTTCACAGTTTCTGACTCTGATCCTTATAATTTACGTGGGTATTTCTGGGGGAGGAATCTGTCTGGGAAGTGAAGACCCCCACGAGAAGACATGCGTGTGGTTTGACTGGGCGGCAAAGGGGTCCAACTGTCCCGGGTTAGCATTAAGAGAGGATTAGGAATTGAATCAGCCCCATAAAGTTTGTTTCCAACAGCGGCCAGTACAAGCAGCGAAGAGAGCGGAGCGCAGACGCTGAGCCCGGTTCTCCACTGCCCTGCCCCTCGCACTGGCCTTTGCACCAGTGCAAAGTGCTACTGAATTAGAATTAGCAGCTGGGGGCTGCTGGCAGAGACTGCCCCAAGGTGCAGGGCAGGCAGAGAATGGGTCCCTTTGAATCTTTGGCCCTGGGGTGGAAAAGCACAAAGGAGCCCATGGTTCTCTCTGCCCCCAAATGTCTCTTTAAATGTGTTTGCCAAGCTGGGGGGTTAATTTTAGCTCAAGTCTCTGCCACCGGGACCTGCTGCCCTTTTAACAAGAGAGCCGCTAATCTCGCCCAGCCCCTGGCTCCGCTTCAGCTTCCGTTTCTCCTTTTCTGCCCATGTCCTTTTTGTTTGGGCGCAAGAGTTTTAGGGGTAGTGGGAGAAAGCGGCTCAGAGATGGGACTGAAGGCAAGTGCCACCCCCAGGTGAATGTGTCTTACGAAAGCCCGTAATTATAGCCCCAGCTAGGAAAGGTGGGGGTTTTGCGCTCATGCTTTTAGCTCCAGAGGTGCCCCGTTCCATGGGTGCCGACTTCCCCTCTGCCCGGTGGGTGCTCGACCCCCTCCCGCCCCTGGCCCCGCTCCGGCATCACCCTCGCCCCGCCCCATTCCACCCCCCCTCAAAGTCCCCGCCCCCATTCCACCCCCTTCCCCCAAGTCCCCGCCCCTGCCCTGACTCTTCTCCGCCTCCTCTTCTGAGTGCGCTGCGTCCCCGCTCCTCCCTGTCCCTCCCGGAAAGTCCTAAGCGCCACCAAGCAGCTGTTAGGCAGCAGGGGGCGGGAAGCGCTGGGAGGGAGGGGGAGGAGCAGGGATGCGGCGCACTGCAGTGGGGAAGGAGGCGAGGATGGGGAGAGCTTGGCTGCTGGTGGGTGCGGAGCACCTGCTGATTTTTCCCCATGGGTGCTCCAGCCCTGGAGCACCCACGGAGTCGGCGCCTATGCCCCGTTCGATCCCTAGCGTGTTGGCCAAAAAGAGCAGCCGTCACAGCAGCAGGGCCGAACGTGCTAGCCAGGGTTTGACTGTTTGCTCATCCTGCACTGGGAGCAGGGTGACCTCTTCCCAGCCTGCTGTTAGAGGAGCAGTTAAGCAAGGCAGGGCACTTCAAAGAGAAAAGGAGAACAAAACCTGGGCAACAATAGAGTCTGGTCCATCGCCCCATTGAAAGCCACTCTCTTTTGACTTCAATGGATGTTGGCGCAACACGTTTGATCCCAAAGCTCTTTAGGGGAATTATTTCCCCACACGGAAAGGCAGCCACTTCTGGGGTGGAACCTGGCAGCTCTTTAACAGCCGCATGGAATCTCATTCAGAAGAGGGAGTGAAGGAGGATACTGACTGAGACCGCACGGGTGGCAGGATGTAAAGGCAAGGGGTTGGATTTGTCCTGGACCCTGGGGGAAATGCTCAGGGGTCTTTCAGGCTTACAGGTGGGAGGGGATATTGAGGCAGACTCAGTGTTAGTTATGCTGACTAAGTGCTTTTGTTTGCTTGCTCTGCAGGTTCCCACTGGACATATAAAGGTAAGGTTGGAAGAGGATTTTATTCTGGGCTTTCTCCCATTCAGTTCCTCCTCTTCCAGGCCCCAGTTCCCTTCTGCTAGCGAGGCAGGATGCAATGCCTTCCTGCCAACACCATGCCCACGCTGGCTAGCAGGTGGCAATGGAAGCTGATTGATGTTGCCCTCCTCCTACTGGGGGTTGAGTGCACTATTTGTGCAGCAGCTCCAGCTGCGGCCAGCCTGGCAGAGAGCTGGGGTCTCCCCACAGACGCCACCTGCTCAGGAGATGCTCAGACCAAGGAGGCCTGGCCAATCAGGGGGCGCTGCAGAGCGTCTCTTGGCCTGTCCCTGGTCCTTTCCAGCCAAGGAGCTTCGAGTGCTTTGCAAAGCCTCAGTGATTAAACCCAGCACCCCATGCGGGGGGGGGGGGATGACACATTACTCCCATTTACACAGGGGGAAAGGAAAAGACTTAGCGGTAGACCCAGGAATAGAACCCAGAGATCCTTGCTCCCAGCCTCCTCCTCTAACCACTGTACACCACCCTCTGCCAGAGCGGAGACGAGAACTCAGGAGTCCTGGCTCACTGTGTGCTCTAACCACTAGACCCCACCCCCCTTCCACAGCTGAGAAAAGAACTCGGGAGTCCTGGCTCCTAGACCCTGCTCTAACCAACAGGCCTCACCATTTCCCAGACCCAGGAACAGAACTCAGCGGTCTGATTCCTACTGGCCTCTGTGGGTGTTATGCGTATCCTGCAGAGAGAGAACTGGATGCCTGGGTTCTGTCCCCAGTTCTGAGAGGACAATGTGGTCTAGTGGTTAGAGCAGGGTGGCTGGGAGTCAAGATTCCTTGTTTTTTTTCTCAGCATTGGGAAGGGGAAGGTTGGAGCAGGGAGGCCTGGGGCTTCAGGACTCCGGGGTTCTGTCTCCAGCTCTGGGAGGACAATGTGGTCTAGTGGTTAGAGCAGGTGCACAATGAAACAGAACTCCTGGGCTCTATCCCAGGCTTTAGAAGGGAGCATGGCCTTGTAGTTACAGCAGGGGAGTGATTCATCTCTTCCACAGCAGGACAGGTCTCCAGGGGTCCTGACTCCCAGACCCCTGCTCTAACCACTGTACCCCAAACCCCAGTGCTTTAGCCCTTAGCCCCTGGCTTTGCGGGAGTGTTAGGCCTCTTAGATTCTCCCCCAATTAGTTCCTATGCTAGAATGGCCCCATTGTGTTCCCGGGGCCCTTATGTAACAGTGATCCACCACCCAGATCGCCAGCTAACTGCCTACAAGCCTAACAAATCCAATTAGCACAGAGCCAGCACCTATCTGAAAGTGCAGCCCAGAGCCAGCTGGGCACGGCTGATCCCATCGTACGGGGGTCAGACGTAATCCCCACCTAAGCTCGGGCCCTGAAAGCACAGCTTTGTGCAGGAACCTGGAAAGGGCAGCAGCAGGAACTCGTTTGAAACCGCGCTTGGAGGCCTGCCTGTTACCCGGCGGTGGAGGGGAGGGGGGCAGGGAGGGGACTTTGGCTGAGCAGGCAAGCCCATTTGCCCCAGCAGACCCAAGCCACGTATGAGACGCCTGTGCGTTTTTTACGTGGCAGGCATGGATGTCGAGCGCCCTAGGCCCAGAGGCTTCTGGGAGCTCCTAGCAACAGCCAGACAGGGCACCGAGAATGCCTGTAGTCTGTGGGTATATCTGATTTGGAGGTTCTTTGTTTTCTGGGTAACTTCAGGTCCAGGGCCAGTGGAAGAACAATGGCGCAGTGGCAGGAAAAGCAAACAGCTTTATCTGTGCTTCCCCGGTTGGAAAATGTTTCCAGCAAACTAATTACCATAGCAGAGATTACATTCAGATGCAAATAACTGTGGGGCTCTGGCCTCCCTTCCCAAGCTGGGTCCTTCATACAAAAGCCTCCTCATTCAGCCAGCGCTGGAGAAAACCCGATTTGCCTTGTAGTGGCCTTGGTGAGGCAGAGTCGCCTTTTAAAAGCGGCATAATTAGGCTGGTTCCAGCCCTGCCAGATAGGGACACTCACAGGAAAAGTGAAACAGGCATAGCCTAGACAGTGACGTGCGTTATTATAACCACTTATTCACGGTTATTTTGATTTTTGGCATTTTCCTGAACAGAAAGAGAACTTCTAACCAGGGCTCTCGCGTCCAGCTCCTCAAAGGTCTTTAGGCACCTAATTCCCCTGGTTGATAGCTGAGTCCAGGTGACTTTGCCACAGAGGCCAGAATTTGTAAGTGCTCAGCACCCATAATGAGACCAGATTTTCCTAAGCGATCAGGGTGCTTATCAGCTGTTGAGTTCTTTGAAAACCCAGCTGGGCATGTCACGGTGGGAGCTGAACGCTCCTGGAAATCCGTCTCCAACGGAGGGTGCTGAGCGGTTCTGAAATTCGCCTAGGGAAATCTGGCCCCTCAGGAAAAACACAGCCATATAAAGCAGATTATTGTCACTGATGCAGCCACTGGAAACAGTCTTGGTGCCAAACCAAAGAGAGGCACCAAAGAGCTTCACGTCTAAATCCAAACTGCCTATAGAAACCCTGGCTAGAGCTTGTCTCTACTGAGCGTTTTATCTGTCTCCTGTCCGAGCACCTGCCAAGCACCTCATGGCCCCACCCTTTGGAAAGCATCATTCTCCCCATGTTACGCTCTGTGGTAGTCAGGACTGAACCCCGTTGCCCGCGTCCCAGTGCCGAGCCGCAAAGCCAGCCTTTCTCCTGACATAGGACTGGTCCTTGCACGAGTGAAGTGAGGCATAGCTGTAAAGAGCTTGGTGCTACGCAGGGGAGATTGCGCGATCCAGTGGTTACGGCAGGAAAATGGGAGCCAGGACTCCCGGCTTCAAGGCCCAGCTCAGGGGCGGGGGCGGGAAAGGAATCTGGTGATTAGAGTAGGGGACTGGGCGTCAGGACTGCTGGGGTGTCCAACTTACTGCTGCTGCGTGACCCAAGGAGCAAGTCACGTCCCCTCTCCGCGCCCTCATTCTTCCCCCATGGAACAGGGATTGTCCCTTCCAGCTGCAGCTCCTGGGGGGCTTTGAGATTCCCCAGACGGGAGGCGCTGCTGAAATGCTGAGCGTTGTCACGGCCACAGCTGTGTATGGCGCGTCGTACTGAGGGTGGGGGTGTGAAATCGCGCTGCCGGGGCCAGAACTGGCCCATGCACAAATCTAGCTGGTAGAGACACCTCCCCGCCCCCTCCCCAAGGGGTTTGACCCCCCCTGCACTCTCTGTTTTCAGGCCCCCACGGCCAGGCGCACTGGTCAGATGACTACCCGGACTGTGGGGGGCAGGCCCAGTCCCCCATTGATATCCAGACCAAGTCTGTGCAGCACGACCCGGCCCTGCCGCCTATTGAGCCCCAGGGATACCAGAGCCCTGGGGATGGGGCCTTCACCCTCTTCAACAACGGGCACACAGGTGAGGCTGCAGTCGGGGCGGGGCGGGTGTTACCCCAGGAACGGAGGGGCATCACCAGGTGGGCTGGGACCTTTCTGTTTCTCCCTAGGAGCCTCAAGAGCACTGTCTGTGCCTTCTCTGTGCCCCTCCGCACAATCTCACTGCTCAGAGCAACAGTCTCCTCCTCCGCATCCCCAGGCCTGCCTGCACCCTCCCCTCACCAGCCTTTTCCATCCCCCTCCCCGCTGCTGGCACAAGAGCCCCCTCCTCTGCCGCGGCAGCCTCTCCGTATCCCCCTCTCTCGGCAGCTACTCATCCAGTTAAACCTCACTAGGAAATGCAGGCAATGCCCCACTGCTGACTCTGCTCCCCCCCCCAGCCTCCTGCATGGCATCGGGAAGCTGCCCCGTTACTATGGCACCGAGGAGCTGTCAGCCATTGCCCCGTTGCTATGGCACTGCAGACTGGTCAGCCATTGCCCCGTTGCTATGGCACCAGGGAGCTGTCAGCCATTGCCCCGTTACTATGGCACTGCAGACTGGTCAACCATTGCCCCGTTGCTATGGCACCAGGGAGCTGTCAGCCATTGCCCCGTTACTATGGCACTGCAGACTGGTCAGCCATTGCCCCGTTGCTATGGCACCGGGTGAGGAGCTGCCAACGATTGCCCCGTTGCTATGGCACCGCAGGCTGGTCAGCCATTGCCCCGTTGCTATGGCACCGGGTGGGGAGCTGCCAACGATTGCCCCGTTGCTATGGCACCACAGACTGGTCAGCCATTGCCCCATTGCTATGGCACCGGATGGGGAGCTGCCAACGATTGCCCTGTTGCTATGGCACCGCAGACTGGTCAGCCATTGCCCCGTTGCTATGGCACTGGGTGGGGAGCTGCCAACAATTGCCCCATTGGTATGGCACCGCAGACTGGTCAGCCATTGCCCCATTGCTATGGCACCACAGACTGGTCAGCCATTGCTCCATTGCTGACCCCTGGCTCTCAGCCTTGTTGGGGTCCCAGGGACACGCCATGTGGGGAGAAGTCATGGATAGCTCCTTCCCCAGGAGTTTCCCTTGGGAATTATAATCAGATCCAGCCGGTCCCACCCCCTGGGAAGGTCTCTCACTGGGGCCCCCTAGGAGGGGCTGAGGCCTGGGAGTGCCAGGTGAGGATCATGCACTGCAGACCAGCCGGCCCCAGTCCCAAAGTGGGGCAAACTCGCCCGCCAGGCACTAGACTTCACAGAGCCCTGTGCAGCGAGCCCCCTTGGCAGAGCTTCCCCTGCCCCTCCAGGATGGGCAGTGGGGAGGGACAGCCCTCTGGAGAAAGAGGAACCCAAATCAGTGCACACAGGGCATGGCAGGGTCTCCCAGACCCACTGCTTAGCCCCTCCCAGCCCAGTGCATCACCCCCAGCCTGGAGCAGGGGCGAGTGAGAGAGGTGGTGTGTTGGAGGGGGGTGTTGGCATGTAGTTGTGACTGGGGGTGTATGTGGAAAGGGGAGCATGTGTGTATGTGTGTGGGGGGGTATGACAGGATGTTTGTGTGATGTGTGTGTAGGGAGGGGAGTGTGTATGACAGTGTGTGTGCACAGAGAGGGGTGTGTGTGGAGATTGTGTGTTTGACAGGGTGTTGATGTAGAGAGGTCAGTGTGTGTGTAGGGCATGTGTTTGTGTGGAGTGGGCCCATGGGAGGGCGTGTGCTTGTGTGACAGGGCGTTTGTGTGGAGGGGTGTGTGTTGGTGACAGGGTGGTGTGTGTGTGGTGTGCGAGTGTGGGGAGGTGCATGTGTTTGTGTGGAGCGTTGAGGAAAGTGGAGTGTGTTTGTGTGTGCGAAGGGAGGTGTGCGTGTGTATCTCTGGGGCGTAGCGGTGCAGGGGTCAGGGAGGGCGGAAGGGGTGTCACAGCGTTGCCAGCACTTGTACCTGTCTGGCAAGTATTGGGATATTCAGCGTTGGAGGCAGGGCGAGACGCGAGACTCTCAGCTTTGGCGAATAGTTTCTAGCCCACCTGGTTCTGGAGACCAGCTTGAGAAGCTGACCCCAGTGCTCCCAGGGACCAGAAGGCAGGAAAAGACCCTGCCCCTGATTCTTTGGGTCACATCTCCTGCTGTCGTGGGGCCGGCTTTGGCATTCTGAGGCCAGGACTCGTCCTGTTTGAACACAGGGGGTTGGCGATGCGGGATGCATGAGGGGGACCTCTCCTGCGCCTTCTGGCTCCTTGCCCAGATCCCAAAGGTCTGCACCGGTGATAAGGACGCCTTTCCCTGCACCGCACGCCCTAGCGTTCCTAGTGGGAGGGAGACGGCCCAGCACGGCCTCATCTCTGCTCCCCGCCGGCCAGAGCCTCCCAGCGGGCATCGGCAGCAAGGGCCCTAGGATGTACAGGGTTGGGAGACTCCGTGCCGTGCACTAACACCCCCTGGGCATCTGTCCCCGCAGTGAAGATGTCCCTGCCCCCTTCCATGTTCCTCCGGGGGCTTCCGCAGACCTATGCGGCCGTCCAGTTGCACTTCCACTGGGGCAGCAGGGGGCAGGCCGGTGGGTCGGAGCATCAGGTGAACGGGGAGGCTTTCCCTGCCGAGGTGAGTGTGCTCCTGCCCCAGGGTTGGGGGGCTAGAGGGCAGTTTTCTCAGTGCCCCATTATCCTCTCCCTTCTTAGCCAGACCAGCCGGGCAATTGGGGCCAAAGCTACCCCGGGTGCAGCTCCACTGAAATCTATGGGGTTACCAGGTCCCACCCTCCCCCCAGGCTGCGAGACCTCCCCTAAAGCCAAAGGGTTTTAATTGGGGATGGAGGAGGAACCAGTTACTCCCTCTGTGCTGGTACCAGCTGGTGGATAATCCCCACCCAGCCAGGTCTCCCGTTGGAGCCGTGGCGGGGGAGATTGTACCTGGAACTGCCGCACTGGGGCTGGGCGATTAGAGGGGCCGGTGGAGGTGGGGGGGATTAGGAGGAGAAGAAAGGTCCTGTTCTACTCTCCGGAAGCCACCAGTGCTCAGCATTAAACTGCTTAACGCTTGGGGAGAGTCTGACGCAACGGGAGTCTGAACCCAGCCTCCAGCCTCCAATACGATCAGCCCTGGTGGGGCTAGCACAGTGCATTTACCCCCTCTCCCACTGAGCCCCCCGGGACGACCGTAGGCAAGTCCCTTCCCTTCCCTGTGCCTCTGTTCACCCCGTGAGCGGATGGTGCGCGGATACATTCGCTAATGGCTGTGAGAGGGAAGGGGGCCCCCAGAGACTGCGCCTTTAAGAATCTGCCCCCCCTCTCCCTGCAGTTGCACATCGTGCATTACAACTCGGAGAGCTACGCCAACATCAGCGAGGCCAAGCAGCGGGCGGACAGCCTGGCCGTGCTGGGCATCCTCATCGAGGTGAGCTCCCTGCCCGTGACCCACCGAGGCGGGGCAGCCCTGGTGGGTCCTACAATGCAGCCAGCCTGCGGGGAAGGGGGTAAAGCTTGTGCAGGCAAGAGCCAAGCTTTCTCGGGGCCAGACCCCTGGAGACTACAGACCATCACCAACTTCCCCAGCCCCGGCTCCAAGTGCTAGGTGCGCTCCTCCTACCTGATGTAATGTAGGCACCCAGCAGCCAGCGCTGGTCATTTAAAAAAGCAACCCTACCAAATCAAACCATTCCACCGCACATACACCTCTTCCCCTGGACAGAGCGTGCAAGAGAAAGAACCCCATGGGACAAATGTGAGTCACGCGGCTCAGTCCAGGACTGGCAGGGCCGGTGCAAGAAAGTTTCGCGCCCTAGACAAAACTTCCATCTTGCGCCCCCAGCCCTGCAGCAGCTCCCCCCCCCCAGGGCAGCTCCCCACCCCAGCTCACCTCTGCTCCGCCTCCTCCCCGAGCACGCTGCCCCTGCTCTAATTCTCCTCCCCTCCCAGGCTTGCGGTGCCAAACAGCTGATTGGCGCCGCAAACCTGGGAGGCGGGAGAAGTGGAGTGGCCGCTGCGCTGGGAGAGGAAGTCTGAGCCGCACATGTCAGCGCGCCGCCGGCAGCTCAGCCCAGGAAAGCTGTAAAAAAAATTGGGGGCACCACTTTTTGGTGCCCCCAAATCTTGGCACCCTAGGCAACCGCCTAGTTTGCCTTAATGGTAGCACCGGCCCTGAGGACTGGAAGATGCTCAGAGACTGCCGTGCTGAGGTGGTTCTAAGACCCCAAATAGAACAGAACGGGGCAGGCCCCCACTCAACCAGCCATATAACTGGGCCATCCAGCCTTGGCGTCTATTGTGAGCTTCCCTCCAGGGGCTCAGCGCTAACGTACAGCCTCTTGTTCTCCATTCCTTCCATCAGGTCGGCGACGTGGCCAACCCTGCCTATGACAACATCTTGGATCGGCTGAAGAACATCCAGTATGCAGGTGAGGCCATCAGTTCCCAGGTGGGGTGTGGGGCCTGGCTGTGGTACCGGGAAAGGAATTGTTTGGGGCGGCGGGGGTGAATCTAAGCGGATGGGATGAGACTGAGCAGAGGACAGTACAGGGTAGATGTCAGGGCACATTTCCTAGCAGTGAGAGTCATTAGATCCTGGCACAGATTTTATGACCAGAAGGGCCCAGTAGATCATCCAGGCTGAGTTCCTGTATCACACAGGCCAGCAAATCTCCCCCCTGTTATCCCTGGTACTGGGCTAAACACACTTCTGGTCTGCTCCAAAGGGGCATTTAGTCTTCAGCTGCAGCCATCAAGAGATGGAGAATTCCCCGCTTCCCTGGGCAGTTTGTTCCAACGGTTAACCACCCGCCCTAATAAAGATTTGTGCCTTATTTCGGCTTTGAATTTGTCCAGTGTCAGTTTCCAGCCAAGGAAGCCTCGCTCTGCTAGATTAAAGAGCCCTCTGGTGCCTCGTATTTTCTCCCCGCAAAGGCACCTGTAAGTCGTAATAATTCACCTCTCCAACTTGTTTTTGACAAGCGGATAGCCTCCCCTGGGACAGGGCGTAAGATCCGTGGCTAGGTTGGGACGAGAGCTGGGTATCTCCTCCTCTAGGCGCCTTTGATAATGCCAGCCCTGGTCTTTCAGCTAGACTGGACAGAGCCTAGATTGTGTAGAAGGGTAACTCACTGCCAGCGCGCCCCCTCACAGGTGGGCATGACATAGCAGAGTCTGTTTCCCCAGCTGATACCACCCCAACCCTGCAGTGGCCACCATCCCCTGACTCGGCCCTCTGGCCAGGTCACACATGGTCCCAGCCTTTCCAGGGTGAGCTGATTCCCATACAGATAGTCCAGCTGCTGTGTTGGGTCTTCAGACTTAACAGTCCTTTGCACCCCTTCCCACCAGTGCCTCCCTGCCACCTCCCTTGGAAACCCACCTGGTTCCCTTCCCACCCAGGGACCCTGTAATAAACAGCTATGGTCTGTCTGCTCAGACCCTTGGCTTCCTCCCTGGCCTACGTCCTAGCCCAGCCTGCCTCTCGACCTTTCCACCAGCCCCTCTCTGGGCACGCCCCTCTGCAGACCCCAAAAGGAAAACGCAGCAGTCCCAGGGAACAAAGCACCCTGGCAGTCCCATGCCAGGCCTACTTGCCCAAGGAAGGCTCTGCTGGTGTCTAGCAACCTCTGGGTAGCTCCAGGTCTTCTTTCAAGGGACTAGCGCAAGAGACACTGCTCCAGTCAGCCATTCCTGGGCTGGGTTTTTCCTCTTCCAACCCCTCCCTCCAGGCTTGACACCTCGCCCAGGTGTAACAGGTGGGGCTGACTAAGCTCTCAGTCTCTCATTAACCCTTTCCCAGCCAGCATGGGGGTCTGTATATTCCCGCCCCCATCAGGAACAATCCAGCAAGCCTACACAGGACGTTCTCCGCACTGAAACATGGCTGCTGCTTTAACCAGCCGCCTGGCTCTAAGGGTAATATCCTGAGTCTAGGAGTGGGTCTAGACTCAGCGCTGCAGAGAAGGAGCTGTGGCTGAAAGCAGCGTGTGCAATTGGGTGGGATTTAACACCCCTCCTTATTCGCTCTTCACGCTGGGCGGGGTGCTGATCAGGGGATGGAGGGTGAGCACCGGGATCTGCATCAAAAACCACCCAACGTTCTAGGCACTCACTCAGGCAGCGGACGCGACCCCCTTGGGACTTTGGTGGCCAGGAGAAGAGACCCCACCCTCCCTGCGCCTCGTGTGGCCGTTGGCACCTGTGCCAAGTGCGTGCGGAAGGGGGGGGGAGGGGAAGAAGGGTGGAGAACAAAGCTCCAAATGTTGGCCCCCAAATTTGCGTCCCTAACACTGTCCCCTCCGGCATCCCTGCAGGTCAGAAAGTCTCCATCCCGCCCTTCAACGTTCATGAGCTG